TTGATAAACCGTGAGATGATACTGCACTGATAAAACCCTTTTTATGAATATTCTGTGTGAGTGACTTCATTTATAAAGTCATGATGTGTTTTCCATCTATGAACACATCCAGTTAGGCTTTGTTTGAGATGAGAAGCCTTAAACACTGCAGTTGTATACTGTGATTGTGTCATTCTACTAAAATGTGAAAATAAAGCCGCTTATGAACAACTGCTCAAATATAGAAAATGTCCCAAATGTATTTTTTCACACCCACTGATAACGTATAACATTAGGCCTACTCTATGGCAATTAACTTTTTTGATGGTGTGTGTTTGTGTGTGTGTGTGTATGTGTGTAATACCAAAATCAAAGTGTAAAAGTGCAATCCATCGTAATTAGGTGGGACTATGAAAACAAAGCTAGCTTGCAGGTCAGTGCCGGTCCAAGAGGGCGTCAAGCAAGCAGCCCCTGGAGTCGACCCAGACAGCTAATGTTGATATTTTTGAGGTGAGATCCTGTACTGCACATGGCTCTATAAAGCCCTATAATGTATGAGTGCTGACGTTATAAAGTCTTTATCATTTAAAATTGTCATGTAGAGTAGATGAGTTGCACATTCAGTTATTGTTTTGCTATTTTTTATTACATCACTCATCCAGTCCATCAGACTTTCCAGACACGTGTGATGAAGAGTCCAACTTCAACTCACAATCGACTCATATGTTTGTTGCTTTTTTCACTGCTTACTGTATAGTTTGCAGTCTTCATCCCATTCCCCTTTATCCCGTCACTACTTCAACCGCTTCTTCATACTAATTCATGCCAGGAACGCAGTTTAGCTTCATCTTATGCAGAAGCCAGGATTCCCACCGCAATTTCTTCAGAAATTGAATTTTCTAGTTAACTGGATTATAGCTGAAACTAAATTCAAGTCAATTCCCTTCAATTCTTGTGATTTATGACAAGAACAGACAAGAAAAAGACACTTCTTGCCTCATTTCATTCTATAATAATAATAATAATGATAATAATAATAAATTAACATCAAAAGAAAACACTGGGAAGAGAACGAATAAAACACCTGCTTCATCAGCAGATATCAGGAAGCTTGATTTTAAATACAGGCAGCAGGTTGAACTGTTATAAATGATTTAGACAAGCATTTCAGCCACATCAACACATTAAGTATAACCTAAACTCAGGTATTCTGTCGTGAGGCTTCACCAGTCACGTGACTGAATTAATCTGCCATTTACTGTCAATAATATTATGTTGCCTTATCAGTGATTGAGCAGCCTTCTTCACTGCAGCTGCAGGTTCATTCACCACCACTTGACGCCGCTGCTGCGTGCTCCGTGATGACGTCACGTTAGTCAGAGTCAAAAGCCCTGTGAGTGTGTGAGTTTCTCGCCGGGTGCGGTGGCGCGCGCCTGTAATCCAAGCTACTGGGAGGCTGAGGCTGGCGGAGCGTTTGAGCTCAGGAGCTCTGAGCTGCAGCGGACTATGCCGATCGGGTGTCCGCACTAAGTTCGGTATCGATATGGTGCTCCTGGGGGAGCCCGGGACCACCAGGTCGCCTAAGGAGGGGTGCACCGGTCCAGGTCGGAAACGGAGCAGGTCAAAGCCCCCGTGCCGCTCAGTAGTGGGATCGCGCCTGTGAATAGACGCTGTAGTGCAGCCTGAGTAATACAGCGGGACCCAGTCTTTTTACACTCATCAATACACTACTATCACAACACACACTCACATATTATATTTGTACATCACACAGCAGCTTCTTCGCTGCTTCTTCATCTTCTTGTCCCCATCAAAACCTGCACAAAGCCGCTGCTCGACACCACCTCCACCTGGAGGCCAGCAGCTACTACACCAGCCACACAATGCTTCTCATGTCCTGCAGGTGGCGCTAATTTAAAGCTGCAAACAAACCACTGTTACTGCTGTTAAAATATGCTGCACATGAAAGATAAACACTTCAGGCTTTTATCCTTGAATGTTGATGTGTTTATTCGAATTAAATGTGACACTGTAACAACCTGCAGTCAGTATAATTTTTCCATAGCTGATAATCAGTATTATACAAGAATCAGAGAGTTGTCTTGTGTGTGTTCACATTCAATACATCATGTTTGAAAAGGTTAATTCAAGTAATAAACAGTGCCAGTCACCAGTACAAATGTGTTAATTTAAGCCGTTAACGTCGCAGCTCTCCATCACTTACAGTCATTTCTTCCTTTTTGTAAAATTAGACTGATTTGCTTGTCCTTCCCTGGAATAGAGATGCGATTGTTCATGATCAGGCATACTGAAAGTGTCAGTTCCCAGCAGCTGATGCCATCAGAGAGATCAAATCTTAATGTGTGACTTTAGGATCTGTCCATGGTGATTGAATTGTGATAGAATTACAGACTGTAAAATGAATTGTTTTTGGACCGAATTTGTGGATTTTCTCAGTTGATGAGGAGATGTTGCCTCACATCTAAATTGATGCATCATGCAAAGAACACAACATTTCAGAATAACTTCTGTGGCTTCGAAATCTGAAATGTGCCTGTTTGAAATGATTTCCATCGTATCTTTCTAAACCTATAATGAAACTCTGTAAGGGTGGAAATTTACCACCATGTTGTTTCCCAGATGCACAGGTGACATTTAAGGTCAACCACAAAGGACACTAAGTGACAATATAATGACCATGATTTCAGCTCCAGTTCCATGTAATGTCCAAATATTGGCCAAGGAAATTTTTTAAAGTAAACTATCAATTTAGCTGTATTTGACGGGTTAGCTTCAGATCACCAGAACACTATTTGTGAGGTCTGGAGGAGGAAACAAAAGTCAACTTTCCACTGACTGGACTTTACACATTGGCTATAATGACTCATGAATGGCCTTTGTTTTGAGATGAATATTTACTCATGTTCAGCAAACTCACAGTTATCGTGTCAGTGCTGTTATTTTTACGGTCATCTGCATCTACACGATTCTTCGCTTTCCCTCAGTAATTTGGTGCTTATCAGAAACCTCCCACGGACATTTCCAAGGAAGAAAGACCACAAGAGAGGGCATCTCAGTCTGCTATCTAAATAAATGGCCCTTTGGGGGGTTTTCCAAGTAAGTGAGGTCTTAAGAAGAAGTGTCACTCCCATTGATAGTGCTGGTTAAAATGAATGTAAACTGCATTTCTCAACCGTTGCATCTACTTGAGCTCTGCTTTCATTGATAAGTTGCGATCAAGCCTTTCATTGCTTCTGAGCGATCAAGACTTAAAATGCTAAAGAGCTAGATTTCAAATGCACCAACATTTCACTGACAAAATCAAAATGACACACAAACAAAAGAGAATTACAGACATCTGCAGATATTTTGAAATGATCTCAGCATTTTAAAGCGTTGTGACCCCACTGACCCCCCCTGCACTTTAAGGTCATTTAAGGTTCAGAGATAAACACAGTTCAGAAATTGGGTCACATTAAGTCAAAGACATACCCTTGTTTCTTTTTTCTTTTTCCCCACACTATATATTTGTACTGTATTGTTTTCTGTGTCCTGGTTAAAGCAGAATTTGACTAATCAGCTTTCCTCTCCGTTCTCTCTTTTCTTTTTACACATTCAACTCTTTTGGACAGCTTTAAATGCCAAGTATTAGAAATGTCTGCCCTTGCCCAAGCTCTTCAAAATTCCTGTGATGGTAGAACATGTTTTTGTGTGGGAGGACTGTTCTGCCAAGCAAAGCTGTTTTGGTCCTGATTCTTTCTTTTTTTTTTTTTTCTCACAAGAAAATCTAGTTCTCGCACCACCAAATGCTACCTTGTGATGGGGGCAAACAAGAAAATAATACATGAGTAAAGGTTACAGCAGCTTTAGTGCCGTCACCCCCTGATTCTTATGTGGATTTTGTCGCACGTAAAAGTATTAGTATGTATCAAACACGCACAAAGTCCCTAAAGTCACAGTTTGAGAACAGAAAATTTTATTTATTTCCCGTATGTCACCCTCCCCCACCACCACTGTGTGCATTCAGTGAATTTAACCTCCTCAAAATGTACATTTTCTAGAATATTCCCCATGATTCAACATCGTCACAGTCATTGAGAGTGCATGACAATGGGGAGCCCCTTGTGCATTTCTCAATGCCCAGGCCCTCGACATTGCCTCACCTTATTGCAGATGGCGTGTCGCAAACAAGACAGCGTGGTACAGGTCTGGAAATTACCATGAAGCATGTGTAAATATTCACAACCCAGTCATCCATGTGGAGTTTAGGGATGCGATGTCCCTTGAGGATTTAGTCGAAACCATGGTATTGTTATGTGGCTGCTAAAAAAAGAGGAAGAGGGAATACCCATAAAGTCCATCAAACACACTTGCACCCAGACATACAACCCCCCCACAAACACACACACACACACACACACACACTCTTATACATAGAGAGACATAATCAGAAGTGAAAACGGAGTTGCAGCAAAATGAATACCTTGTCTTTTAGGTTTTTTTTGTTATTATTATTATTTAAAGTTATTCATTTTTTCAATTGTGGTTTGTGGTTTAATTGGCTGTACCAAACATTAGTTTCTACATGAACTTTTTACATGTAGTCAATGGGGTAACTATTTGAAACTTTTTCTGAGACTGGTAATATCCACCCATGTTTATTCATATTGCTACATAAACCCTCAATATGTTATTTCTCTGGAGTTTACAAGATTACCTTATGTGCCTTAACTTTCCATCAGACATGTGACTTCCAGTTTAATGCAACTTACCCAGATTCTTACCAGAAACCACATCAGATGCAGCTAATTAGGCAGACAGCTAGTCTCAGTGTATGTGTGTCAGAGAGGGGGGGTGGGGGGGCGAGTGAGAGAGAGAGAGAGAGAGAGAGAGAGAGAGAGAGAGAGAGAGAGAGAGATGAAGGAAGAGAGCATGTGCGAGAGTGAAAGAGAAGGAGGAGTGACAGAAAGGGAAAGAAAAGAGGGAAGAAGGAGACTCATTACTCATTAAGTGGTAAACTTAAGTTCTTCTCAGCAACTCGTTCTGCTACACAGACTCTCTCTCTCTCTCTCTCTCCCTCTCCCTCTCTCTCACACACACACCACATACCGCACACACACATACTCAAAAACACAAAGCAGAAGTGGACAAAGACACACGGTTTCAGTCGCCACGGTTGGCTATGGCTCAGGGCTCTGACAGCAATGACACAAGTTACAAGTCCCCGTCACCTGGAAGCAGGCCGGTAAGTGTGCACTTCCATTTACGTTCTCTGGGTTACCTGCTATTTTCACTGAAGGTTCATACGTGTTGTACTTAAAGCTTTCTGGACAACATTTTAACTACAAGTCCTGTGAATTAAACGCTTCATCTTTCTCCTAAACCTTGGATTGGACGCAGTCTTTCTTGCATATCTGTTGGGCAGCAGTACAGCCCATCATCAGAGACACTGGCTCTGTCTCTGCTGGCTCTTTTCACAGTTTCTCGGGGTGTTTCACATGCACACATGGGCTTGAGGCATGACTCGCCTCAAGTGTAGGCTTTTGTGAATTGCAGTATGTGTGTACACTATGTGCTGTAGTTCTCTGTGCATGTGAGACGCTGCCCATCATCCTCAGTGCTATCGAGATTCACGTGTGCCAGCCTCTAGAACATTGTTACTCCTTTTCTTGCTCAAGAACCATTCTGGAAATAACACAATCAAACGTTATTTCACATGCTACAAGCTGGAAGCATCACTGTATACAGATGGAGCCAATTTCCAGCAGCATCAGCTGTTTTTGATTCTTTTCTTCGTTTCTTTTAGCAATGCGTTAAGAGACAGTTGAGATGACGTTAGATAATTAATTTGTTATCTCTTTGATGTACAACTGACTCAGCATTTTGAAAAGGATTAGTTATTACGATACCAAGAAAATCGAGTGATCAGGACATGAAACAGGGTGTGCGTTATACCTAACCGATGAGTCAGCCACTCCCTGACCCAACCCTTCACGTTAGGTGAAATGTTAAGCCCATCTTCTGTCAAACTGTCATTAATCAAGACGACATTTCCATTCACACATAGACCCACCGGTGAGGGCCAGCACCTTCATCTTCATCGACAAGCTTCTACGTAAATTCACTTTTTCAGATTCAGGAAACTCCCTGTGTCAAAACTGTCAGTTTACCACTTCACGTCTGTGGAACTTCACACACACACACACACACACTCTGACTTTCAAGCATCTCTGTTTTGTTAGAGCTCCTCAGATGATGTGAAGAAAGTGATGCGGAGAGAGAAGAACAGGATTGCTGCTCAGAAGAGCAGGATGAGGCAAACCCAGAAAGCTGACAGCCTACACTTGGTGAGGAGACCTTTCTCTGCTCTACACACCACACTTGCACACCAAAACAATTTAACACTGACCTCTTACATTTGCCAAAGAGACACAAGCCAAAACAGCAAAGATATTAATCACTGTGTGATATTTAGTACAAACAAAGCTTGCACGCCAAATTTCTAGCTCAGAAAAGTGTCATTTTGTGATAGTGTTATTGTAATGCTACGCTGGTTTCAAATAGAAGGTACATGCAGAGGGGTGTTTAGCAGATGTAGCATTAGTTAGGACACCCTTGCAAAATAATAGAGGCGTGGGGTGAAAGTTACTCTTGCTAGATTTAAGAAGATATCATGTTATATCGGTGAATAATGTTAAAGTAAACAACGGCGTTTGTGCAGCCTGAAGGCCACGCCAACTGATCAATTTCCAATCTAACTCCATGATACGTGGACATAAACAAACAGTGGCTGTGTGTGATGGCTTCCATGCAGCACTTTTAGAAGCCTCTGGGAATGGATTTGTACTATATTTACAAAATGCTACCTGACCATGTGGCGATGTGTCATAGCTTCTGTTGGGCTGCACACTTGGACGCTGCTCTGTGTGTTTGCAGAAGCTTAAGGAATAAATTAGCACGTGTGGGCAATCACTCCCTATCGCAGCTGAATCCAGCACCAGAGACTGTAGAGCTAATTCTGATGATAGTGAGTGCTGTTCGGGTTCGCCGCTCTGCTCATTTCTCACCATTATCCTTTCATGCCTCTCGTTTCGTGTGATAACTGGTAGTCAGTGTAAAGATATGACTCTGTCGCTTCAGCTTTTACTTGTTTGACTTGACACAAGATGAGTCCGTTATTCACTAATTCTTTATGAAGCTTCAGAAAGAGTGCAGACATCTCTTCTGTTCAACCTCCACGGATCTGGATTTGCAGATATTTCTCAATGAGAAGCTGCAAATTTTCACTCTCTATTCAGATGTTCAGTGTCCTCAGCCTGTGTGTGCAGCGGGTCTATGAACAAAATTATGTAATTATCTTTCGAATGTAACTTCACACACTAACTGCAAATGCTGTCACCTTTTATATCAACCTGTATATCAACACACTGACCATGTAGCCCCTCCATGTGTGACTTCCTTGTTCGAGAAAAAGATGGTTTGTGCTGCACCGCACTCTTTCACCACGATGCTTTCAGAGCAGCTGTTTCTGTGAACTTTATCAGATGAACTGAAAAAGAGTTTGACATTCAGAAAGGCCACATTGTAGGCAGTGCATCCAGCGTAACTGATTTGAATATGTGAGAATCCTTCCCAAGAAGTACAGTGTATTTTATCGATCTCTTTAAAGCTTGTCACAGAGAACACTGCAGAACACATTCTGTGGTTTTACTTTCGTCGTCTCACTAGATAAACAGGAAGGCGAATTTTCCCTCTTTATGACACCGTGGCCCATTTCCTGTTTCTTCAGTAGTATTTTCTTTTTTTCTTCTGTGTAAATGAGCTTGAAATTATATGTTGTGGGCAGGAGGGGAGAAAAAGGCTGTCACTTCTTGTAAAGTGTAGTGGGCTGTATTTGGCTAAGTGACGCAAGAGCAGGGGTTTGCCCAAAGGTTCTGTGACAGTAAGGACCCAGTATTGTAATCTTTTGGCCACAGTATGATGACCTTTTAATTACCCAAGTGGAAGATTTCTCCCCTGCTATTCCCACACACACACACACACACACACGCACACACATAAAAAATAAAAAATAAAAAAAAACAACAGTTTGCTATACTTTCAGTTATCTCAAAATTGATGATCACAGAGAAATCTTGTTTTGGAAAATCTACTGACATCATTGAAAATGTCAGAATGGCAGCTTTTGAGGTGCAGGCGGTTCATATTGTGAGGTTTAGGTTTGAATCTTTAATCAAACATTTATGTAAACAACAACACTGCTGTTTGGAACATTTTTACAACAATTTCTTTTATACTTTATTACGAATCTGATTTCTGATGTGTTTTTACAAACCCCCAGGCAGCCTTGGTCTTTGCTCATTTCAGTAGGGAAAGAAAAATGAGATCAATAAAATTGAAAGTCTATGTGACAGTGAAAATAATCTTGCTGATCATAAACTAACTCAGGAAAAGGAAGTAGCATACATCTGTTTCAGCAAAGAACATTTTATTCTACATGACTGCCAACTATTTTACAAAGGATACTATACTTTTATTTTTGTAATACGCTTTTTCCCTCCCCCAGTATGTCTGCTCTACATATAGTTATTCTACAACAGAAAAACTGACTTGCAGAGACTTGCTTGAGAGAGGAAATCCATCACGGCAAACTACATCCACTGTTTACTTTTTATTATTATTGAGTTAATACACACTGTGTGCCACCACAGATCACCTATCTGCATGTTGATGTAAACTTATGGCTGCCATGAATTTAGAAACCGAGAGTCTGCAGCTCAGTAAGACTAACCACAGCTAAATGCCAGCATCAGCAGCCCAACATGCCCACAATGACAATGCTAACATACTGATGCTGAACATCTTAGCACGCTAACATTTCCTATTCAGCTCTATAGCAGTGCTAGTGCTAATGAGGCTGATGGAGATGTACTGGGCAAATTTAAAATTTGATGTGATGATGGCACCAGATGAAAGTTCAGGGGATCACCAAAGTCTTGCTAAATAGGGCATGGGCGTGTGCACCAAATTTCATGGCAATCTATCCAGTAGTTGCAATGAATTCTCACTCAAAATCACAACTATGCATGTAGGCCTCAGGGGGCCATGAACATCTGTATAATCTTTCAATCCGCACAATAGCTGTTGAGACATTTCAGTCTGGATCAAAGTGGTGGACCAGCTGACTGACTGGAAAACAATGCCGTCCACAGAGGAGACTCATTCAAACAGATTACAAATCGACTGTAATACGCTTTAGAAAATGAACAGGGGTCAAATAAACTTTAATTCATGGTTACAGCAGAAAGAAAAAAAAACATGCCTGTAACAGGAAAACAGGAGTTAATGGATTTATCACTTTATCACTGATAAAAGACGTTTTCTGCTCAAACTCATCCCGTCCTTGTGTGTTTCCGCAGGAGAGTGAGAACCTGGAGAAGGAGAATGCGGCCCTGAGGAAGGAGGTGAAGCAGCTGACGGAGGAGGCCAAGTACCTGTCGTCTGTGCTGAGCAGCCACGAACCTCTGTGCACCGGCCTGGCTCCCCAGACCCCTGACCTCCTCTACCCTCCTCACCACAGCAGCTACCACCACCAGCACATCGCTGTACCACACTACCAGCACTGACCTGACTTGACTAATGGGACGGCCGAAGACGAGCCGCGAAAACAGATGACTGACCTCAACGGAGAGAGACTTACTGGAGATGTGTCTATAAATGTTAACCATTGTTCAAAACTGATCCAGGAGGAGCATGACAGGCTGATGTGTCTCCCAAACAGTGACAGTACGGAGCTCAAACTGTAATGAGCAGTATTCAAAACTATTTATTTTTTGCTTCTCCTCATCTCTTTGCTTTTATCTGATTGATATCAGTGATCTGTGTGTGAACTCGATGGCTAGAAGTATCCACCAGTCTATGTTTACATTGGGTGAAAGAACCAACTTACTGTATGTTCAGGTGACTCAGTTGATTTTCTTTTTTTTTTTTTTTCTTTTTTTGTAAATTGCTTATTTTCGGTGTCATGGAGACGACCTTTGTCACCCTGTCATGTTTAGAGTTTCTTGTGTTATTGTGTGTTTCAGCGTATAAATGTGGATAGACATTGCTCAGGAGCTTTTTTGTTTTGACAGATTTGATTGTGGACAAGCAGAATGTAAACATCGATATCCTAAATGGGCTCAGATGTACCAAAAGAAAAAAAAGAAAAAAAAGAAAAAGAACAAGAACAAGAAAAGAAATGACTGGCTGTGAAGAATGGGCATCCAAAAGGTCTTGTGTACTTGCTTTTTTCAGTGAGGAGACCCAGCAGAGATATTTATTAAATGTGATGCCTTTATGGGTGATCTTTTCTGACCTTCAGAGGCTTGTTGGTCATGCCTTTTATGCAGGGTTTTTTCTTTGTCAGGACAGCAGGATGTGTGAGGTCTGCACTGATGCTGATAACAGGGGACATGTGACAAACCACCTAGGTGTTTTTTTTTCTCTGCTGAGAGAGTCTCTAGATGGCACTGTTTACTTGTATGAAAGACAAAGTTACAGTAGCTTATGTTATAAAGCACAAAAATAATCATCCATGGCGTGTTCTGTGTGGGTATGAATTATTATTTTTTTGTTCTTCAACACAGCTGAGGCTTTTTGTGTCCTTTTCATTTCACTGATTCCACAATGACTGGTCAAAATAAAAGACCTGTTTACAATGTTTGCAATGTTTTCAACTAGGAGGTGAAGTTGTAATAAAGTGGTTACAAAGGGCTTATTTTATAAATTCTTCGACAGACATGCAGCTAACATGTCAGGTAATGAATAGCAGCTGTAACTGGAGGTTTGTGAGTGTAACAGCGTCTGATGTCTCACGTTCACAGGCTGTTCAGACGCCACAAACACCCGTTAAGGAAACTCCGCCCTTGTTCCTCAGTTGACCGATTTATTTCAAGATCCCAAAGCGGTTTTTAGGTCCGGGTGGAGGGTCACAGCAGGCGCTCCTACACGTGTTAACACTCGGTAAACTCGACCTGAGAGGATCATATTCACCCACAAAGTTATCTGTAACTCCAAATTATTTCAACAGCACAGGCTTTAGGCGTAAGTTCGACTTCTCCAGTAACTTCAACCCTGGGAGGAAATGAATTTATGGATCCGAGAGTGCCGCTCAAACTGCAAGTTGTAGAGTCTTCACTACTTGCTTATTAACTGTTCAGATCAATGGACTGGAGATTTGAAACATAGCGTTTGAGTTGAACTTCTCCTTTAAGCTGAAAACATGAAGTTGTAGGCCTATAAAGCGTTGACTGTTCACCCATGAAACAGAGCGAATTTCAGCCTCTCAGCTTAGTTTGAAGTGCTTTAACCAGAGCAGTTAGGTGTAAACTTTATACTCCATGAGTATATCGAAGACACCAGTTTAATATGAGCGAGAAACAAGCGTTAGGAGACACTAAACTTCACGAGGATCAAACTAAAGCGGACTTGGAGAACAATGTCAAGCTGGAGGCGGGTGACGCGGCGCAGCGCGCCGACTATCAGGGTGAGCAGGACGGTCACGAAGCGCCGCAACCTACCCGCCTGTACAAACGCCGCTGGATGATTGTCCTCCTGTTCAGCTCTTATTCACTGTGCAACTCCTTCCAATGGATACAATACGGGATCATCAACAACATTTTCATGAAGTTCTACAACGTGGACACCTTCACCATAGACTGGATGTCTATGATCTACATGCTGACATACATTCCCTTCATCTTCCCTGTGACCTGGCTGCTGGACAAGAAGGGGCTCCGGGTCATCGCGCTGGTAGCCACTGCGCTTAACTGCGCCGGGACATGGATCAAAGTGGCCAGCGTCAGACCCAACCTGTTCGCCGTCACCTTTCTGGGGCAGTTCTCCTGCTCGTTGGCGCAGGTGTTCATCCTCGGGATGCCGTCGAGAATCGCGTCGGTGTGGTTCGGTTCAGAGGAAGTGTCCACGGCCTGCTCCATCGGAGTCTTCGGGAATCAGGTAGGCTGTGAGGCAAAGAGAGTCCTCTGTTCAGTAAGTGGGTCAAGTTAGCCCTTCACCTACTTGATCACCGATTTAAACTATATTTAAGAGCTCCACTAACCACTAATCACTTGGACATTCCCACATCTATTTGGCACATCTCGTTTGCGTAATTACGCACGTTCAGGCGACCACAGTGCATCTCTTGTGCGTCCAAGGCACAACATTGTTAGCTAAGAATGTGAGAGAATGAATGGGACCAACACACAGCGATGCAGCTACAGCATGCAAGAAGAGACATGGATGTACTACTGTGAACAGGTTCTCAGGTGGTCAGTGCTTATACTTGCCCTCAGCCATGGCTGTAATTCATTCATTCAAACCTCTGAAACACAATATACAATATGAGAAACAGAGAAGGAGAAATAGTAGTAATCACAGAAAAAGTTCTTCAAAAACAAAACAAAACAAACACACAAACAAACAAACAAACAAACAAACAGAAACTATAGGATAAGATGTTTGAAAGGAAAACTAATAAAATATCCAAGTTACAAGATGGAGCATGCTCAGGTGGGTATAGCTACCAGGAAAAATACAAATTCATCAAGTTAATGGCATGTCAGTGACACACTGAAAAATATGAGGCTGTGAGCAGATCTGGGCACGGCTGCTTTTGCACAGATTATGGTCGTGGCCCCAGGGAAGACCTAAAAAAGAATTGGAAAAATTACATAAGACACAAGCTTCTTCCAGTACAGAGATAGATAGATAGATAGATAGATAGATAGATAGATAGATAGATAGATAGATAGATAGATAGATAGATAGATGGATAGATAAAGGACAGTATCTAACCAGAAGATTAAAAATAACCAGCCTTTGAGTTGAATAATTTTATTTATTTTTTTAAGCCAAGGCAGATCATAGTATTGTGAATGTATTGTAAATCACCCATGAAAATAGTTTCTCAACTTTCGACGACCACATTCTCTGACTGCGACTTGTCACTCCACATAACCCACACACAAAATCCTCTACATGGTGATGCACATTTGGCTTTTAGGAAAATGTATCCACACTAAAGAAAAACCATCAATGTGCTGCTTTTCTGTTTAGATGAGTAGCAGCTGCGTTTTTCATGAGCAACCAAATAAACAGACGGGATCACAAAGATCAGCATCATGCCACCGTTAATATAAGCCCACAGTTTTGAGCAAACAACACTTGAGTCAACTCAACATCAACTCCAAGGAAATGTCACTGAAAAGTCATCACTTTGCTGCTTGCGTCGAATCGGGTTTGTGGATGGAGTCTCAGTGAGGAAGAACAAACACTTGCAGACTTCCTTCAAATCTTCTGGAGCATGTGTTGAGGCACCTAAAAGAAAGATTTAACACTATTCAAACCTTCCTTTACACTACTCCTAATGACATAGAACACACGTTGACATGTTGAGATATCAGAGTTTATTCTCTTAACACAAGAAGCACTTTTCTGTCATTTGTGTCTGAACTGTTTGGGATAGATGAGGCCTCAGTTTGGTTGTGTCATAGGTTATTTTAAAGCATCCAAACTGCTTCTGTATTAGCACATGTCATCATATCACACCCTCCTGCAAGAAGGAAGTCTAAAGACATCACATTGAAGGTTTCATTGCCACATTCATGTCCTCTCTTTCGTAGTGTCTTCAAAGGCTGAGATAGCGGATCATTTCAGGCACGGTTGAAAAGAAAAACGTTATACATTTATCAAATAACACAACAGCATATATGCATTATTTATATATAAATAGATATATGAAATGAGTAGAGGAAGGGTGACTAAAGGAATATCCTTTGCATTAGTACAGTACAGGGATCTGTAGGTAAACGAAGACCTGGAAACATTAACCTCTTGCAGCAACAAAATCTTCCTCACGATCAAATGAGAGAGACTTCATTAAAGTTCATCGGAGAAATATCTCTGTTTTAGTTTTCTGGGGTAACTGCTATTTGGACCGTTAACTAAAGAGGTAAAGCAGGGTCTGAGTTGGTGGGAGTGGTTTAGATAGAATTGGAAGATTTCCTATATTAACATCACATGACAGGACTGAAGGTAATAAATATGTGGACATGCGGTATGGAGGCTCAATGCCGTCACATGCACTGAGTTGTGAATGGACTGAGGACACTTCTGAAAGCATTAAGTAGCCCCAGCTGTGCTCACTCTCTGGCATCTTTCTACAACAAGCAGTTTGCACACAGGACAGCAAGCTGTTAGGACACAAGCTGCGAAATCTTAAGACCTCTCACCTCTCACGTTCCAGGGCCCCGCTTTAGGACAGTTGAAATGCCACAAAACAATACTTTGAAAGGCAACCATGCAAATTCTGAACTCAGTGGTGAGGAATGGCCGCGGTCCAAGGCTGCAAAGAATCTCGCTCCAGGCCTCGCTTCGCTGCAGTGGAGTCCAGGACCCATTGGTTCCCGGTTAGACGTCGAGGCTTTGCAAGGTGACGGTGCAGAGCTGGCCCCGAAGCCTGAGACCAAACTTTACCATCGTCGCTGGGTCATGCTGTTTCTCTTCAGCGCCGTCTCAGCCAGCAATGCCTTCATGTGGCTCCAGTACGGCATTATTAGCAACATTTTCATGCGCTTTTACAACATTGACTCCCTGGCCATCGACTGGTTGGCCATGATATATCTGCTCACTTATATCCCACTTATTCTGCCCGTCCTGTGGCTTCTGGAGAACAGGGGCATCCGGGATGTCGTCCTCGTTGGTTCAGCCTTTAACTGCATTGGCGCGTGGATAAAAATTGGTAGTGCAAGTCCCAATCTGTTCCCAGTCACTTTTTTGGGCCAGTTTGTGTGCTCAGTAGCCACGGTGTTTGTCCTTGGCATTCCTTCTTACCTCGCCTCAGTGTGGTTTGGAGAGAAAGAGGTTTCCACTGCCTGTTCCATAGGAGTTCTGGGAAACCAGGTTTGTCTGAATATCTGATCACTCACCTTTTAACTTCTGCTTTCTGCAGCTGGCGACACGTAGAGAGGCATGAACTGTCCGACAGCTGTCTGTAGATTGTGCAGGGCTGCACTGGATGCCAGAGTCACATACGACTTGTAGTGTCTCAGTGTGAGAGGCCTGAGAGAATCATGTTAACTGTTTGCTGAAACCTGGTCATCAGACTCGGACGGTTTAGAGGTTTAAATGTAAAAACTTTTGGTCCCAATCTTGAAATTCTGTGTTAATTAGTCAGATGACATGGAGGCTGTTAAAATATGTTCATATAGCAATGTGTTGTGGTAGCTAATATAATAATTATTATGGTTATCTGAGTTGGTTTTCTCTTGGGCAATAACTTGTATTTGGTGTTTGATTGATCGGCAAGCTACAGATGAGAGATATTGTAAGAAAAATTGTTGATGATTGAAATTCAGTTGAAATAATTAATTTGAATAATTAAAATTGAACTATAATCAAATAATTTAAATAATTTAAATTAAGATGTGTTCCTTTAAAGATGATGAGGTTTTGAAGTTGCATGTCCAATTTACATCTGAACCAGTAACAAACTAATAATGGTGAAGAGTAAAAATGACATCGCTATAATATACATAAATGGCCTCTAAATACACAGGCTGTGGTACCATTCAGTCAGTATGTAGCAGCAGTGTTGTTAAAAGCAGAACCTTTTTAAGCCATTTAATGTCACCGTAAAAACATGAATGTACCTCTTGGTGTGTTCACTTGCTGTTTTACTCAACTCACTTGTGTTCTGTCCTTAACTTGTGTTATATGTGTTTTCATTGCCTCACAGCTGGGCATCGCCATTGGCTTCCTGGTGCCTCCCATCCTGGTGCCTAATGTGGACGACATGGATGAGCTGGCTCACCACATCAGCGTCATGTTCTACATCACAGCAGGAGTGGCTACCTTACTCTTTATCCTTGTTGTCTTTGGTAAGATGAATGTAGCACATAAAGGGTCATTCCACCCCGGTAACAAAACTAGTATTTTCTCCAAACTTTCTCTTGTCATGGTTAGTTAGTTTAGTTTTAAGACCATAAGATCGTTTTAGGTTGTGTTGTTTGTTAGTTAGTGGTCGCTTTTATCGAATTGCTTCAGTTTTTCTGTGTCAAGTATTTAACACTCAGAAAACCTGGCACACGGTAGAATTATTCCATCAAAGGAGAACTGTAAGGCTGCAGACAGTTATTTTCTTTAATAACCGATTGATTGTTTAATCTAAAATTCCCATTATCATTTCCTGAAGCCGAAGCCCAACATATTCAAATTGCTTTTTTTGTCATACCAACAGTCCAAAATACAAAGATGTTGAGTTCACAATCATAAAAAACAAGAGAAACTAGCAAATATTCACATTTGAGAAGCTGGTACCTGTGGATCTTTTTGCTTAACAAATGACTTAAACAAATAATCAATTATCAGAATGGTTGCCAGTTAATTTTCTGTCAAAAGACTAATGATTGATAAGCTATTCATTTCAGCTTTAGAGCACAGGTGGTTTCTCTGACCTGTAGTGGTTTTGAGACGTTCATTAATGAAACATGTCCTGTCGCCCCAACACAATGGAAGTGAAAATATTTTATTTGTTCTGCTCAGAGCATTGAAAAACTACATTTTAAGATTCTCACTGGGACTATTTCCTCAATAGAAAGTTGTTCCAACAGTTCAACTCTTCTTCAGTATTTCAGATGTACTTTCTCACTGCTTTGTGCAGTGCAAGAGAAACTCCATTTACCTCCATCGTACTGGAGTAGGGACAGGAACCTCAGCAAATAAAACCGAAACTTTATGGGTGACTAGACATTTTAAAGGGTGATATGTTTTTTGCAGTTTTGGCAGTTTTTGAATTTACATAAAATGCAGATTAAATCAAAAGTGATTTTACTGCACTGCGTAGTCAATGATTTTTTGTGAATGGGTAAAGAGGTGTAGTGGTCAATGAAGGAGTCAAGTGAGTGAAATGAATTAGATCAAACACGTCATCGCCTCACGCACTAAGCTTTTACACCTCCCCGCATACTCAGGCTTTTTGATGCCTTTTGTCTGGATCTTTTTCAGAGGGGCCAATGGGATTTCCCTATTCAGTGGATCCGTCTGATGATGGTTTTAATTTACAGCAGCCTTACACTCTGACAAGAAGCGCCATTCAAAAAGACAAGTGCTGACCTGCATGTTCGCACCAACACAAAACCCCTCCTGAGGGGGAGACAAAAAAGACACTATTGTGATACAAGTAAGGTCAGGAGAGATGTCACGGGAATGGGCAAGAATGTACAGCAAGAGCGCTACAGCTCTAAAATCACCATGTTGTTTTGTAATTTAAACGTTAGATTCATGGATATATCAAAAAAGAGGACCTATGGTAACAAAGGGACTTAGCATTGTCTGATAGAAGGAAGTGGTGTGACAAACGGGATGTGAGCTTTCAGGAAAAATGCTTCGCTGTCGTCTGCTTTATATGTGTTGCCCATGCATTTTGACTTTCCTTTGTCTTTTGCCTCATATATTATCTCGGAGTTTATATTTTTGATTACACATTTAGTACCTCACACCTCATACCTCACAATTACATTCATTTTTCTCTCTGTTTGTGTCACTGAGAAAACGAGATTCATGTGCTGTGTCATTCAGGGAGGAGGTATAGACTGATAACAGAAGTAGTTAGTCAGAACACAGATAGTAGTTCTGTTAGTAGTGCTGAGCAGTGGTCAGAGAAGTCGCATGAAAAAAGCTGTTGTCCTGTCACGTTAGGAGGGGGTGGGGTGGGGTGGGTGGTAGGGTGGGGGCGCTCGTAAGCATTCAGAAACACAAAAGGATGCTTGTGAAGGCATTCCGTAGTAGTACCATGCACAGCATTCAGTCTGACTAAACTGTCACTGTAGTTTGTCTATAGTCTCCTGTTGTTTAAAGCGCACCTTGAAATGCAGACTTCAGCTCATTCTCTGTTCATTAGACCAGCAGGACATGAGCCTGGTTCATAATCAAACCCTTTTGCTTGTGACCCTTTAAAGGAGTAGTTCAGCATTTCGGGAAATGCACTTATTTCCATTTTTGCCCAGAGGTAGATGAGAAGATCGACACCATTCTGTATGCTAAATATGAAGCTACAGCTACAAGATGGATAGCTTAGCTTAGCATAAAGACTGAAAGCAAGGGGGGAAACAGCTAGCCTGGCTCTATCCAAAGGTTACAAAATTTGCCTACCAGTGCTTTTAAAAGCTCAGTTATAAACACATTATATAAAATAAGTAGTTGTTTTCCACTTTGACTTACAGTGACTTCACTTTGGTTGTACAGATTAAACAAACAAGATATAAGTGCATAAAAGTTAATTTGTGAGCCTTTAGAGGTGCAGCTTTATAGAGCCAGGCTAACTGTTTCCAGTCTTTGTGCTAAGCTAAGCTAACCATCTCTTGTCTCATACAAGTGGGAGCATGGTATCAATCTACTCATCTAACTCTCAGCAAGAAAGCAAATTAGTCTATTTTCAAAACCCAAGTATTTGCACCCCCTGTTCCAGTGTTCATGTCTGAGTTGTGCTTAATCATTGGGGGCTTTCCCTCACTCAGATTGTTCCATTTCAATCATTTTTAGGGGACTGAGGAAGGAAAATTTTACAGTATTTCACAAGTAAAAAAAAAACAAGGCAAATATATTGTTGCAGAATTTCGTGTGATTTTATTTCCTATCCTGGTAAACATCTTGCAACCTCTTATATTCATCCTCTTCTGGCATTTCATTTTAGTTTATTTCACATAAACAAACAGTGCACTGGAAAGATAGATATGCTAGAGATAAAGCATAAAAATTCGTAATTCACCCACATCACATAGCTCTGTAGACAAAGCTTTTGCTATCTAAAGACTCATCAGGGCCCAGACTCCTCACTGCAAGTACAGACTCTCCTCCACTTCAGGCCATGTGATGGATTGGGACGGAGCAAAGGATGTGACTTGTGCTGCTCTTGGTTACTCCAGCGAGATAATTCACACCAGTTGGCCGCAGTAGTTTCATGATATAACACATATACTCACGCACACAGCACACCCTCACACATACATGCAAGATGCCATGTGTGAGGGTTGTCCTGCTGGCTGGGCCATCTGTGGCCCTGCAACAGGCTTGTGAGTCAGCAGGGCAGACAAAGTCCCAGGATTCAGAGATTTTCATAAACTGTGTGCAAAGAGGGGGGGAAAGAAGAAGTTTGGCTGCTGCTGAGTTTACCACTAAGACAAAATAGGAGCGAATGAGGGGAATCACCGGGTGTTAAAAAGGAAAATTAGCATGTACAAAATTAACTACAAATTTACAAATATACAGGGTGAGCACTCCAAAAGCTGTTTGAATACAACTTTGCATTTCCTTTGACTAACAGTGACCGCACATACAGAAAAATGCGGCTGGGATCTTGTTATAGTTTAAATGACGTCACCTTCACTTATAAGGTTCATCAAGTTCACACCTGGCTTTAAAATGAGTCCGTACGTGCGTCTCGATTGACCACTTGTGATCGGATTTCCTGTTTTACATGCAAATAAACAGGTATGTGTTGTTGCTTTTAGCCAATGGACAGTCGGGTCCGTGGTCAATGTGCTTGTGTGTGAGAGAGAGAGAGCGAGGGGTTGACCGAATTAATGCTCTTACAGTTAAATAAAGTTTGATCCATTTGAAACAGTAAAATATTTGGCTTCATTATAAACTGCGGCGGGACTCGTCAGACTGTGACGTCAGTAGAGTAGGCGGTCCTTCGATGTGGCTCAGGACGCATTTGCGTTCACACTGCTAAAAACATTGTGGATACACGTGGGCTGGACTATCTCCGAATGTGGTCTGAATGATCGGATCTCACATGAGTCCTCAATGCGTCTTGGGTGCGTTCACACCTTCGAGCTGTCCACCTGTGATCGGATCACCTGAGACAGATGTTAATACCAGGTCTGAGCAGGGCCTAAGAGCAGATCTGTTTAGTAAAATGAGTGAGAGGTGGTTACTGCACACGAACCTCCAGGTCAGATTGACCGGGGGGAGGGGGAGTTGTTGGTTCAGCTCCAGTATCCACAAAGAGAGACATCTGTGTTTCCCTAGAGTCCTGAGGGCATGTGCTCCCACCCAGGAGAAAGAACCAGTGAAGCAGGTCACATCACAGTTTTCACCTGGAGAAGTGACGGTGACTGGCTGCCTGCCCCTCAGCCTGCAGAACGCTCAGCAGAAGACTAGCTGCACCACGCTGTATGTGTTTGGACCTGTCCAACTGTGTGAATGTGTCCACATGTTGAAATGTTTGAAGCTGCTTTACACAAAGTACAGATGGCTCATCTGTGCAGAGGCACAGGCGTGTGGTACACATATCGGAGGTTTGCAGCTGCAGCAGTTTGCTTGTGTAAAGAGGACAAACATAATTTCTAACAGGAAACCTCTGTTGATTTAGCCTGTTAAATCCCAATATTCTTCTTAAATGTCCCCAGCTTCAAAGTAAAAAAAAATATTGTTCTACATTGTTTGACAATATCACATGTATGTATGTGTGTCAGTTTAAAATAATATGATGCTTCTGGTTGTATTGCTGCACATTTTCCAATATTTCAGCAAGACTGGTTTTTGTATCTTTGTAGACACTGCTGCTGACTGTAATTTCAGTTGCAGCTCTGTAGGTTTGACCAGTGCTTTTAGGTACAACATGAGCTTGTAATGATGAATGTGGCAAAAAAAAAAAAAAAAAAAAAAAAAGGTCAAGAGGTTAACAAGGCACCGAATCTGCTGTTAATTTGTGTTTAATAATGTTGTTGGTTTCTCGTTATGTCAGTCTTCCAGGAGCGTCCTAAGCTTCCTCCGACTCAGGCCCAGGCCACAGCTCGCAGCATCCCACCAGAGCAGTACTCGTACACCGCCTCCATCCGCAGGCTGCTCCGCAACAGGCCCTTCATCCTCCTCATCGTCACTTACGGTCGGTCATAACCTCTCTCTGCAGTAACGGTTTGTTTGTTTAAAGTTACATTGTCAGTGCTGTTCCCCACAGTGACCGTTATATTGACCAACTGAAAATGGTTGCGAGATTCAGGTTGTGTCATACACATCACCACAGCTGCCCTGCACCACATCAGTCAGTGATTCTCCTGAATAATGGCAGGAATTATACATGTAGACCAACACTCTCCCTTTAAAGTGTAACAAGGGTCATGTTGAATGTCATAAAAGTCCGCTGCACTCAAGTCATTAATTATTCAAATGCCCAAACAGATGATAGTGAGTGTCCAAAGTGTCAGGGTCCAAAGTTTGTATATAGTCTGACAATGTTTAACAGGTGTTTTTGAGCGACGTGACTGGAGGTAAAACATTTCATCAGGTGAAAGTAAATTTCTTTCCAGTTTGTCCAATCATAGCCGCTCTCTCCGACAGCTGTGAGCAGTTTAAGGAAACATTTTAACCTCCATTGACCTTTCTGTGTCATTTCATGTGACACAATTCACGTGACTATTATTAGTGTGTGTTTGTCTCCGTCACTCTGTCCTTCTGTCTTCCTGCGTAATGTGGTCATACGGGTTGCCAGATAAGTATGCAGAGTCTCAGATTTACCTGTGACTGTCATGCTCTCTCTCTCTCCTGCAGCTCCACCTGTCCCTGTCACTTAAACTGAACTGTAGCTGCTGTTCCTCCTTACATTCAAGAGGCAGACTCATTCTTAGACAGTAATATATGCAAATAGTATGAAACAAAGAGTGTTTAAAGAAGTGTAGTTGTCTTGTTTAGTTTATGTCCGAGTTAACGACTTTGTATAAACCTTTTGTTGAAGAAAAAACACTCAGGGCTACCTATCCTTTTATAGAAATCCTTGGTTTAGGACGGCTCTGTGTTTTGGAAACCAGTTTGATTTGGTCCATTACACACAAGTGAGAACCAAATCCTTCCCCGCACTCTTTCTACAGTATTTCATAATTCCGTTAAGGAGGTTAGCTCGATGCTTCCTCGACGTTGTGGAAAGGTTCCTGAAAAATAATTTTCTCCTGAGGTTTGTGGTTCGCAGACTTTCTTTGACAGTCTTTCCCGTCCGACAGGTCTGAACGTAGGTTGTTTCTATGCTGTTGGCACCCTGCTGAACCGCATGATCATCGACCATTACCCTGTAAGTAAACACAACAGTGTTTCACTTCAGTGTCTCCTTTGTATTCACCACCAGTCATTCATACTTCCCAAAACTCTTGATGCACATCCTATAATTTGCCATTTCAAAAAAAAATTGCGGTTAGAGTTCATATTTATATTCACATATTGGCAGCTTGAACTATAACCTTTTAATACCCAGAAATAATCCAACATGAAATGAATGAACTGCACTGTGTTCACAGATTTAACACTTATAAACCCAGTTTTCTCTCGACACAGAATTCATTTATTTCTAATTAAAATAATTTTTTTACGCTTGAGTTTCAGTAGTAGTAGTCATTTCCATAGTAGGAATCACAACTGGCTGCTGCTGAGATATATGTATAATTTTATGGAACAATGTTTCCTTCTGAAGCTTTTAATATAATATTAAAGGCCATTAACTGGATGTGTGAAGAAATGACTGATGCAACATCAGATTGATGTAGAAACATTTCTCATTCAGCTCATTCAAATACACACCTCACTTCTCCCGTGTGAAACAGCGTCTGCTTTATCTGGAACTGCCTTGTCTTTCCTCAGTATGTAAGGTCACAGGGTCACTGACCTATGTCCTGTCTTCCTTGACCCTTCAGGGAGAAGAGGTGAATGCTGGGAGGATCGGCCTTACCATCGTCATAGCGGGCATGGTCGGCTCCCTGATCTGTGGCGTCTGGTTGGACAGAACTAAAACTTACAAGTAAGGCGAAAGGGAAAGGGCAGAGACGGAGAAAGCGTGGAAGAAAAAAAAAAATATTGTCACTTATTGATTCACAATCCAAAGTTTCTAACACTTCTTTTCCACTTTTTTTTTCAACCTGTATTTATCCATCATTAAGCAGCTACACAAGCTCTGCTCTGTCCTGTTTATTGTCATTCCCCTTCTCATCTCACTGCAGAGCTTCAGTATTTATGTGTTGGCTGTCGTTGGCTCTGTGTCTGCTTTTCCAGGTGCAGCATGCTGCTCTGACAGCGACCTCTTTGCCTCATGTGCTCTCTGGCTGTGTAGTGACAGCAGCATCCACCCTCTGGGGGGGTGGGGGGGTTGGTGTGTGCTTTAGTTAACCCCCCTCTGTCTTATTTACAAGACTTTTGTTCTGCAAATGTAGGAATGCAGCCGTGTTTGTGGCTTACATGCAGGGACACATTCAGTCCCACACATTGTAGCCCGAGAGCGCTTTCTCACATATTTTGCAGTTTCTCTGTTAATTTCAATATTATCACCAATTTTGTTTCCATTCAGTTCTTTCCATTCAGTTCCTTTTTAAATGGCGTTTATTATTCATTTATGGGGACTTTTTTTTTGGTTAATTTATTCCAAATGTCAGACTGCAGTTTCAGTTGTGTTATGGTCATTGTGGACAAGACTTATTTCAAAATGTATTCAATTCTGTTTTTTGTGACATATAAAAATGATTATTTAGTTATTAGTGATTTTTATAGGCACCTGTGGAGTTTTCTTGTGATCAAAAATAACTTTACATTCAGTGTTACTCATCAAAACACGTTGTGTTTAGGTCTAACAAACATGTTTAATGCATTTTCTTCCCCATAAAACATTTGCAACGGCATTTGCTTTTAATTTGAAAACCTGCATTGTTTACATCCATATTCTCTTGCTAACAGTCTTCTTCTGATTCACTGGCTTTGTTGGCACAATGCTGTGTTCTTGGCGCATTACTGCCACCTGTTGATTAGTGCAGCAGTATGAGACCACTGAGCTTTTTTCTGTCCTCGTGTGCATTCACGAAAACAAACAGACCGGGGGGACCCAGGGGGACCCAGTGATCAAACATTTCACAGAGGATGTTTAAATTTGAAAGCTTCATCATATATATGCCTTTATCCTAATGCATTTTTAATTCATTGAGAAGCTGCTGTGGTCTGCTACTGTGCCTAATGTAACATGAGGAGTTTCTCCACTTGAAAACGCAGCAGTTTATCCTGATAATGTTAATTATATATTAGATTTTATCAACTAAAACAAGTAGTTGTATATTTTTCATGTGTTCTCCAGGCAGACTACCCTCGCGGTCTACTTCATGTCTCTGGTGGGGATGATCGTCTATGCTGCTACACTCAGTTTGGGACACCTCTGGGTGGTCTTCATCACCGCCGGAGCTCTCGGGTATTCTTTCATTCATTGCCTCTTTCTTTTTAGATCGATAAGGATTTACTTATTTTTTAATGTCTGTGCTCATGTGTATGATATTTTATTCAAAATACACATCATTGTTTTAGAATATATAATATAAAATATTATATTTATATATATATATATATACATACATTTGCTACCAAATCACCAAAAATATTAATTTTCAAGATGGATTATATCTTAAATTAGCAAAATGGACTGGGCTCAGTAAGATCATATTTTAAGCTGTCACTATTTGCAGATTCCTTACACAGAGTGTGTCTCCTCCACTGTAAGCACTTTATAAAAAAAAAAAAAAGACCTGAATCATTGACAGAAAACTTTGCCAACCCTTGTCCAGTAGATTCTTTCTTCATGCAGTCAAGTCTGTTATGTTAATTTCCCAGAGTGCAATATTTTTGTTGACTTTTGCAATAATAATTTACAGTATGTTTATTTAGTGGTCAACTTTGGCCTGATGAGATCATATGTATATATACCTATGGTAAAGCCTTTGCCTTTGTACACACTGACCTAGAATTCAAACTCAGGATATAAAGAGCAGAGGTAACACAACCCCCTGCTCATGGGAAGAGGAAAACATAGATAGAGACCAGGGTTGTGTGGAATCATCTCAAACAGTTATTTTAATTCAATTTAGTTTACTTAATGCCAGCAGGAAAATCCACAGCATGTCATTACTGCTTTCCAGGGAGTCTGAGATACATACTGTTTTTCAAAGCAAACAATAAAGGGACATTTAAACACAGTTAACAGTAACAGTCAAGTTGTGTTCAACATGGTTCTCAGATAAAGGCTATACAAGGCAATATGAATTGGAAAAATGACAGTTAAAATCTTCATGGAGGATAATGATCCACAAGGCTATTTTTTTTTTCAAATTAAAAGCGGATTTGGTAGCCAGCAGTATACTTTCACATCCAGTTTGAACCTTTATGTGGCCGTTGTGAAATCATAACACCTCTTCAGTAGCACAGATTGGTCTTCCAGATTGGGCTCGCCCTTTCTGTGAAGGCACACCTACATAATAAATCGTACATGCTCACATGCACGCCAGACAGTGTTCACGATTCATGTGACTCAGGCTAATGGAGACCAAATCAGCTTCACATTCCTCCTGGAGCTCCTGGTATTCGATTGATAACACTGCTTTAGCTCTTTCTTTTATCCAATGCGTACAACCGCTGTGCTGAGTATTTTTCTATGTAAGAGCTTCTGTTTTGGGAATTTACATTTCTCTATGTATCGCTGTGTCCTAAACAAAGCTCTCGATGGACTCACATCTTAAAAAGAAAAGCAACTATATGTGAAGGCATCACGTCTGCTGCTCTGTGTTCTTGTTATTGAAGCATACTTATTTGCAGAAGAAGCCACTTAAATGTCAAAGAAAGGTGTCTGGAAATACAGTACGCACTGACTCAGGATGATGTGTTTTGCTGCTGTTGCCCTGTCAGAACCCTGCCATTGAGTTTCAGTTATTGTCACTTCAGTGGAAAGAAGAGCTGCTGCTATTGAGTGAGAGAATAAACTGATGTCACTGGACTACTTTCAAATCCTGTTGTTCCTGTATAACTTGACGAGTTCTGTTCAGCTATAGATGAAGGCATTAGTCTTAAGTTCCTGGGAGGACATTTGCATTTAGTTCACACAAAGTTTTCATCCTGTTGTGAGGTATTAAGAAGTGGGAGAGGCAAAAAAACAACAACAACAATACATCATTGAACAGAGGTTGTGTCCTAAAGTATACGTGCAAAATACAGGCTGTGATATTGAAGTTAATGTCAAATTAGAACCAGATGTTTTGTGGTAATAACAGAAAGAGGAGCTGTTACCGCTGCGGTTGAAAAATACATCCAAAGTATTAGAGTTGAGAGCAGGAAAAGCCCTGTCATAGATGAACATGTGATGATTAATGATTATAATTTCTGTGTCTCTGTGCTCCTGTGTGTGTGTGTGTGTGTGTGTGTGTGTGTGTGTGTGTGTGTGTGTGTGTGTGTGTGTGTGTGTGTCTAGGTTCTTCATGACGGGCTACCTGCCGCTTGGCTTTGAGTTTGCAGTCGAGCTGACGTACCCGGAGTCAGAGGGAACCTCCTCCGGACTCCTCAACTGTTCAGCACAAGTACGGCTGAGTCACTAAAAGGGTCGTTCTCAACATAACAGTGCAAGAAAACCCAACTGTGGGTTAGACAGCACCTTAACAAGTGTTTGTGTTTTTACTGGTCACACAGTGAAAGTGAGTCATTCACCTTTTTTTCTCCAGGAAACTTCTCACCAAATTTGCAACATGCAAATGCTGCAATTCACAGTGTGAGACAAAAACAAACACCATAATTGCAGCCTGTGCATAAGCATGTGACGGCTTTGCAAGACTCACAAATTTGCAATTTGTGTAAGCGGCGCTCACAAAATACTTTTGTTTAACGGGGCCCTGGATAGCTGATGCCCACAGGCTTCCCAAGCTCTAGTCTTAACTGTCACATGTTCTGCATGCGCAGGTGTTTGGCATTATATTCACCATCTGCCAGGGGAAGATCATCGATAACTTTGGCACGCTGGCAGGAAACATCTTCCTCTGCGTCTTTCTTCTAATTGGCACAATAATGACAGGTAAGACCTTTGTGACTGTAAAAAATATACTACGTAGAGTCATAACAAGCTACTGATCTCGAGTCACATAGAGCAGTGCACAAGAATTGTCTTGGTTTGTGACTGTTTCTGTAATGGGTTTACTAATGCTCCTGTGGGAAAATGTTAAATTCCAAGAATGGAGCTCACAGTTATTGTATAACTTGAAGGACGGTTTCAGGGTTAAATGTCATGATACAGAATATTTCCAGCACAGTGACAGATGTGTTTTTATTGTTCAATATAATTAACAAAGAATGTTGTCACAGGCCATAGCTTACAGGAAAGCTGTATGACGTTAGAAGCAGCTCCGGGATTAGAAATTAGTTCCTAGAAATTCTTTAATTTCCTTGAATAGGTTAAGTAAAAACACAACACTCTGTTTTAAACTGTCGTCTGGGGAAAGACTTCCCGTCGCTGCAGGCACTTTCTTGTTCCCGTCTCCATCCTCGTCGCTCAAAAGTGACTGTTTTTCATTAAACAAAGCTGCAAGCTGAAGTTTCTTGAAAAACAGGTCAGAGGGTGGAGCAGTAAATATTTTGTTGTCCATTGACTGAGTAATGGAAACTTTTGCATCACCTAGAAGGTAATCATCATACGGTTAGAAATGCTGCACAGCTATACTGACACACAGTACATACAGTGGCACTTGCTTTCCAGCGATTACAGGGGAGATTTCATGCCTCAGTTGACACCTCAGTCAATACAAAGCCACTTGAGTGTTTTTGCATGGCCCATTGAGGGGTTTATGAGCAATGTATAACTTGTATTAGCCGCTGCAGCATTTAACTTTGTGCACACTACAACAAACACTCTCAGACTCCTTAATGAGACTTTTCTGCTCACAAAGGTCAGCAGACTGACTCACTGTCTTTTGTAACTTACTCAGCACTTAGACACGAGTGCACTTTTGCCGGGGTCATCATGCCAGCTTTAAAAGAAAATTAGCTCACAGTATCGTCTCTCTGTAACATTTTCAGTTACAAAGGTTATAATTTGTTGTGAAACATTCTCCTTAAAGAAGGGGTTGAGGTTAATTATTAAATTGTAATCAAGCTGTTTTTATACTTGTGCAACATAAACTTTGAAGATAAGCCAGGATGCTTAACTTGAGTTAGACATACTGTATTTCATCCTGCCACACAGTCTTGGGAAATACTGAACAAAATGTATTATACTTTAATTGAGGCACTGTTAGGATTCGAATGTGTCATCTACTCTATAGTCACCATTATTACATCATGTCATGCAACCACATTTTTATTTCCATATCATGTGTGTTTCCTTAAATGCATTAAGGTGGACCTAAAGTCATATTTTTATTGTAATAAAATAGTGTCATTGTGCTTATCTCACGCAGGATTGACTTATTTGTCTCTTTATTTCTCTGCAGGCTTAATCAAGTCTGATCTGCGGAGACAAAATGCGAACCTGTTGGCCAAAGCAGCAGTAAGTGTGAAAAGAGAGTCGTGCTTTGTGTTTTTGTTGGGAACATACAGTAGACTAACAGTGGTGGTGGTAGTGTGATGTAGAACAGGCATATTTAAAAAACACACTTTGGCATGGCACGGTCAGAAAAGCACAGGTGCATGTTGCGACACCGTCGTGACTTTCTAGGACACTTGAACAGAATCATCATTAATATTATTGTGCTGTGCTTTTCCTACCAAGGCAAGTCAAAGTGTCTGCTGTGTGCTTGTCATAAGTTTGCATGGAAGGCATACAGTCAAGATCACATGTGCATCTTGTGCTGCTCCAGAAATAACTCACTCTCTGCTCCCTGCTGTGTCTGTTTTATCTGTCGTCTGCATGTCTGTAGCAATTTTCCATAAAAAAAAAAAGAAATACTGTTGAACATGTCGCGATGCTGCTACGCTGTCTCTGCTGCATGTCTGCTATTGTCATCTCACTCAGGTTATTGCACGTTGTGTAACAAAGCATGCATCCGCTGTGTCAGAAACATTGTCACTCACCCACTTGAAGTCATTTCAGATGAGATGTGCTTGTGTTAAGAATTATTTTAACTAACATATGTTTTGAGAGCTCACTTAGTTTGTATGGTAGCATTGGTTTGAATGGTTTGAGAGATAAACATATTACTTGGGGGGAAAAAAAGCAGTAAAATGAAGCAGTGCTGCCTGAAGGGGGCGACAGGACTGTGGACAAAATCAGAAGAGTTGTTACTGATGCCTGGGTGGGTCTCCAAGCTCTGTGGTGAAGTAAGGGATGAGTGCTGACAGGAAAGCAGTCAAATTCTCCACATGCTAATGCTAACATGTAATGAAGAGCAGACATGAGGGATCATGATTTACTCTGCAATAGTTTTCAGGAATATGCTCATTCGCTTTCTTGTGGAGAGATGAAATAGTTGAGAAGATCTATACTCTTATCTACACTCCCTCATCTGTCCGTGAAGCTAGAGCCAGGAGATGATTAGCTTAGCATAAAGACTGGAAACGGGGGAAACATCTAATCTCTGTCAGAGGGGAACAAAATCCACCTGCCAGCACTTCTAAAGCTCACCGATTAACACATTATATATCACTTGTCTACTTCATACAAATACTGCAGTATAAAAAAAAAAAACAATTTACCATTTCATAGGGGGTTACATGCCAAACTGTTTCTTGGCTGGGAGCTGAGCTAAGCCAACCAGCTGCTAGCTTTATATATGATGAAAGTGGTGTTGATCTTCTCATTTCACTATCAGAAACAAAGCGAATAAGCATATTTGTGCCGAACTGTTCCTTTAAACATAAATATTCAAACTGGGTTTGTTTAAGAATAATCTAAGTGACTTTAATTAACTATAAATTACAAACATAAACTCATTCAAGCAGGAATTCAATGGGGGAAATTTAAAAACTGCCTTTTAGATCAGATTCTGTTGAACTTCATCCCAGACTGGAGACTCACGCCTCCTTAAACACTGAATGAGAAGTGATCAGTAGCTGTTGTTTTAGGCGGAGAGGCAGATGTTGGGACAAGACTACGGAGCCACAGCGCTAATCTCCGAGCCGCAGACTCCTCCTTCTCAAGCCTGATCAATAAACCTTTCTGCTTCCACAAAAAAAAAAAAAAAAATCTCAAATCTTAGCTCAACACACAGATGCACAAAGGTAGGAGCACAGAGCGATCAGCACACACTGTCTATAATCACCCACACCTGCTGCACACCTTTTCACCCTTCACTCTTTCACCTGCCTACTCTGTCTCTCAGTTTCTTACGATCACGCTGAATAATATTCACACAATCATGTAAATACGAATCTTCTGTTTTTTGTTTGTTTGTGATTTTATCCAACAACCTTGGTAGCAATTCCAGCTGAATTTAAGGAATGCATTTTAAGTTAGCTCAGGTAATAATTAATCTCATCACACTGATATGTCTTGATATGTCTTTGACAATAACAACATAATGATAACAATACAGTCACATTCACATGGGAGTGTCCAGATAATTATTTTATTATGTAGATAGCAGATAGCTGACTGACATGAACTCCCACGATAACCGTAAATCCTCGATAACTAGATCTTTATTGATATACAGTTTTTTTTTCCTATGGTACAAAACCTTATCTTCTTTGAATCTATAGTCTTATTTACGAAACTGTGGTCTTATCTATTAATGTTTGTAATGCATCCACAGATGACATTTTGACATGTCACAGCAGGAAAGAACAGATATAAATCATAAAATTATTCATTTAGCTCCTTCAGTTTCAGGATCCTGGTACAGTGCGTGCTGCCTCACTGTCACGCATGACTCACTGAGACACTTGAATAGAGCAGAGCCATTGTAAATTTTAGCGGTAAATTAGCAACGCTGTGCTTTCATGTGTTTTAATGTAGCTTGTAGTCAGCAGGATCCATAAAACTGTTGAATTAACAAGCCTCTCTTGATTGACAGGGACCTTCTGACTGCCACGATGTGAACCTGGCTGCAGCTTCTTTCGTCAAAGAAGCCCAGCTTTAGACACACACACTAACAAAAAAAAAAAAGCCTAGAAAGTGACAATGATCTCCTTCCTGTTGCAGTGTAACGTACTGAGATAGAACAACACAATCAGGAAGTCTTTAGACCCACTTCCCTTCTAAGAAGAGTTAGATGTATAATATTGTGTTATTTATTTAAAAAAAAATGCTAAAATGCTGAACTAAATCTGATATTTAATCATTACATAAACAGCTGACCATGTAAATACATTATCCACATTTTTATGTGATTTTTGTAGAAAATATTTGAAATAAAAAAAGACTTATACAGCAGCATATTAAAGGCTTTCTAATCCATGGCAGTCCACAGTAAGGGATACAATATTGATGACACATTGTGTAATTTTTTTAACACCATTCAAGTTTTCTTATTTAACAGAAATAAAACTGTTTTATAAAGTTTCTTTCCTCTTTATTTTGTGTCATGCTTTACTTTATTTCTTATCTTGTCGAACCCGCCCAGGTCCACCACACCCAATACAAGTCAGGGATCAGGGACATAGTGTAGTATCATAGAATACTGAATATGACATTGACATTTATCATTCCGTTATCACGACACTGATGCCGCTGATTACGGTGTCAGACATGTATAGAGATGGCTGCATTGTTGTCTTTCAGCAGGACAGATCCAGGGACAGATCCAGGCACACATGCACACACAGCTGTTATCTTGCTCCAGTAACCACAGCATGAAGTCATGCTTTGAGATGTTGATCATAACATTAGGTTACATGCAGGTTTTCTCAGAGCTGATATAACTATTCTTGTTAGATGATAAATAGGTAAATCAGCGCACAGACGTGGATGATGTTTGTCAGATTTGACAATAGTGAATCAAAACACTGAAAAAAAATGAAAGGCCAAAAATAAAATGTTCATTCAAAGTATAAAAACATGTTTTGCATCCTCCAGCCTTCATCAGATACACTAGTTCTTACAATGGCAGCACCCAGACAGGTCAACTGTGTGCCAAAGGTAAAAAAAAAAAGTGAATCATACCTTTACAGTGATACCATAACTTTCCTTTAAGAGGATAATATACACAGGATTCGAACATATTACTGGCCCTTTTTTTTTTTCAGAAACATACAAATAAACACAAGAGTGTGTGTACCCCTCTTGGTCACATGGTGGCGGCATTGTTGCGTACAATCAGCAGTGACTCGCCTAATGAACGAGAAGGCCCACAAGGATTCAAGTGAGGGGCACGAGAAAAAAAACGTGGTCAGTGTACATTGGGGATATAATTTGATTTCTCAGTGTCCCTTTAATTGTTTATATTTTGCTTTGATCAAAAATGTGAAAATAGCCTGAATAAAGCACATAGCTGCAGATCTGAGGTGTTGGTAAATGACTACATTAAAGTTCTCATTGGCATAAAGAGATAAAGTTGCCTCGGAGCAGCTCTGTTATGAGATCATCCTGACTTAAGGCCAGTATTCAAAGAGCAGCTCCCATTTGACTGATTCTCTGATGATCTCATTGTTCTCTAGTTAGCTAATGACTGATCCTTGGCATGGATTGACTGTTAAAGTTTCTATCATGAGTTTTTCCTGGTGCTACAGGTTCGTCAGCACATAGACCTGTGGAAATAGTACTCAGTAGTAGTGTTTCAGTGTCCATAAATGCAAAATTCATCACTTCAGTCTAACAAATGACTTTTACATCTGCTGCACAGTCAGTCACCCAGCAGCACATCAAACGCTACTTTTATTATTTAACACTTTTGAAGAAGGAGAGAAGTCGGATGAGGAAAAAAATGCAAAGAAACAGAAGAGATGATTTCTGTTTGGTTTTATAAAGGAGGTAAAAGGCTGACATCATACATCACTTGTTGTGTCAACACTATTTATACTGTATGCCACACAGCAGAGTTTCCCTCTTTTTATGAGCTTTATTAATGTGGAATATATGAACTGGAGACAGGAAGGTCACAAAAGGACGAGGACGAGCAGGGTGTGACCTCAGGCTCGCTGGGAAAACTCCTGACAGTTTGCCCACCCACATGTAGAGATGGATGTTTGAATAAGGCCTCTTGTATGCATGTGACATTTCAGGGCTGATCGGAAGAACTTACTGTACATGTGAAGGTTAAGTCACTTTGCTCTTACCAAGGGACTTTTGCTTGTTTTTCGTCACGCGTTTTGTTACTTTACTTTTCTGCTGATGGACCGAGTATGAAGCTATGAGGGAAGTTGGAGGGAGAATTCAAGGAAAATTTTCCATTTAATATTTGTTAAGTAGATCTTATTAATGATAGGTCACATGGAGATGGCAACAGGTCTTCATTTGTTAAATACTTATTGCCTTAGAGAAACCCACATAACTGTCTCTTGCTCTCATATGTGACGTGCTGGGAAGGAGGTGGGAGTGAGAAGCCGATATGGAAACAAGCTGTATGTGATGTACAATCATATATAATGATATGATACATGTTGTGATATGTTCTCTAGAAATTCAGCTGAGAAACTATTTACTGATAAGAATTGAACAGCTGATATAAACACTTGAAAAATCAAGGTAATGCAAAAAGTTCAATAAAATAAGTCCTACTTATTGATTTGCAACATTGCACAAGATAGCACCAACGTTATTTTGGTTTCAGGATCTAAAAATGAACTGTACTTTTTTTGGGGGGAAATTATCTTATTTGCTTGTTGAGAGCCAGACTGAAGATACCACTCTTATGCATTTATATATCTGTGCATTAACTATGGAGTTGGCTAGAGCTGGAAGTCGATTAGCTTAGCTTAGCAAACTTAATGAGTCCACCTCCTATTACCTTGAAATCTGATTAATTAAAATGTTATATCTTGTTTGTTTAAGCCCGCACAATATATGTTTTTGGATTCACTTCACAACGAGCTTTAGAGGTGCTGGTAGGCCGATTTCTGAACCTCAGAGAGAGCCAGGCTTCCCAGTCTTAATGCTAAGCTAACTATCTCCTGCAGCATTGCCTGTAGCTCCACACTTGACGCACAGACACAAGAGTGTTATTAATCTTCTCATTTAAGTCTTGACAGGAAACTAAAAAAGTGCATCTCCCAAAATGTTGAACTATTCCTTTAAAGAAAAGCCAACTCAGTATAAATGGCATCTGGTGGTATATATCATCATATCACCCACTCCTAGACATGCTTATGCGCAGCCTTGTGGGAATGGTGTTGTGACAGATTACCAGTATTAACAGTATAACCACAGAATGGGTGATGGTGTACCTCACTCTCATACTGAATACTACTGAATACTCCATGGCATGATGATTTATTCTGCAATGCTGTTGCATGATGGTAAAGTGCGTCATTGCCCTGAGCATTGCTGATCCTATCTGCCTGCTGGCGCTTCACAGATATTATCAACTATCCGCACCATGATCCCTCCTGCACCCACAAACCCAAAACCAAAAATACACAGCTAAAATTATAAACACTATATTTAGTTTGTCTAGAGAGGTGGGCAGAAAACAGCATTCTGTAATCAGCTGAGGCTTAGGGACTAGATTGTAGGCCTTCTTGCAACTAGTTAGAAACTAGAAATAAACCATAAATTTGCCAATAACACCGCCAGTTGGTGTAGGAGTGCAGATAACCATCAGACTCATAAGGGATGGATTGGAGGGTGAAATGTGGAGGGAGGAGGTTGAAGCGAACACAGCATGACGCAGTGCCTCCTGTTTGTGTTGCCTGTTCAAACAGAAACAGAGATTGATGGTGCTGGCCACGTACAACGCACAGTAGTGAAGAGGGAGTTGTGCGTGTGCACAGACACATGGGCGGAAAAAAAAGAGAGACATACAGTAGATAAAGCCACATGATTTTATAGGGATGAGAAAAACAGAAAGAGAAGTGCTAAAAAGTGAGAAGGTCGAACTGACAAGGGGGATATCAAAACAACTGAAAGGAAAGATCCTTGAAAGACAGGAGATGAAAGTGTAACTAGGACTGAGAGTGAAATACAAGTAAGTGTGGTAAAGACTTTGTCACACGCAGATGGCCGCACGGTGTATCTTGGAGAGGCTGCTGAACGAGCACCTCATCCATGCACATTTTGGAGAAATATAACTGGCTCGCAGATGGACTGCAGAGAAGGGAGGCGCTGCTACGGAGTCAAACTGTAAACTGAGTCTTGATATATTTGAACACTGGCTCCACGCCAGAGGAGCTGCGCTTGGTACCAGCATTTTCTTCTTCACTTTACAGAGAAGATAAAGACTTCTCTCATTTTTCTTCGTTCAGTCACTTTTTTTTTTTTTTTTTCCTTCCTCTGTGTTTGTGTGTGTGTGTGGCCTCCTCCAGCCCTTAGATAATGAGCACTTGAAAAAGCAAACACAGAAAATGTATGTGTTTGGTTTTCGATTCTGAACACACACACACGAAAGACACAGACACAGAAATTTGCAGGTAGCGCAGAAAATTACAAATCCTCCATTAGTTAACAGGAAGAAGACAGGACTCCTATGTGGGTGCACTAACCAGGAAAAATGGTTACATGTCATCACAGTCTCATTAAGATGATTTTGATTTCATGCAGACTGCCCTTGACATTCATTAAATCTTTTTTTTTTCTGTAGGACCAGCAACATTCAAACAAGTCTTATTAAACATCCCTGCTCTATAATTACCCAAAAAAATTCAATAACTTTATCTAATGGTGAGTTTCATGTGGTTGACCATGATTGCAGCACAAAAACTGAGGGTGCCACACTAGCATTTGCCTTAAATTATGTCACACTAAACCAGCGTCACAATGTGTGTTGTGGCTGTGTTGATGCAACCGAGGACTAATTTCTTCCAGTGTTCCCCGAGGTCTGTGTGTTGTTTTCATTTTATTGTTCATAGGGGAAAATGGCTCAGCCGGTAAAAATGGAAAAATCACTTAATTTTCCCTCCACTACCGAGCTACTGTTTTGGCTTTTAGAGCGCACTCCCGCGCCTACGCAGCCGTACGGGGGCTGGATCTCCATTCCATGGTTTATGTTTGTGGGCACGTGGATGTAAAGGTGCCACCAAATCCTGTCAGTGACACATTGTAATGACCAA